TCATCTGGCGATCTACGCAAAAGAATATGGCCCTATCTTCTTGGAGTACTGGACTGGGATGTCAACACTGAGGAAAGAGAGCACCGCTGGGAGGGAAAACGGTCCGTGTTCGCCATACTTCCTTGTCACGCCAACTGACTTTCTATCAGACAGCAGTACCAGTCTCTCAAAGACGAATGGTGGGGTGTACCCGAGGTGTTTGACCGGCAAGACATCATAGAGGTTAGATTTCTCGAGTCCGACGATATGTGATTGCTGACAATGTTACAATGCCCGCCAGGAGCGACACAGAATCGACGTCGACTGCCGTCGGACAGACCGAACGCAACCTTTGTTCTCTTCAAGCGAGGCTGACAATGAGAAGGGAATGCACATGAGATACTCAACGATCTCTCCGCAGCTCAGTGACATCGGCGCCCAGGCACCAACGAACGAACACATCGAGCGACTCGCCAGCATCCTCCTGACATATCACTTCTTCGAGAAAGATTTAGGTAGGCTTCTTGATGGTTGCTTGATCACGGAGTCAAACTGAACGGCACTCAGGCTATGTGCAGGGAATGTCAGATCTCTGTGCCCCAATCTACGTTGTCATGGATGCGGACGAAGAGCTCACTTTCTGGTGTTTCGTGGAGGTCATGAATCGTATGGTCAGCTGATCAGCACTTACGAAGCCGTGCTCACTCACCAGGTTGTTTTACAGAAGCAGAATTTCTCGCGTGATCAGAGTGGCATGAAGAAGCAGCTATCGACCTTGCAACAGCTAATTTCGGTTATGGATCCAGAGCTGTACAGGCACCTTGGTATGCGCATCGCCTCGACTTCATGTTCGATCAGTACTGATCCGGATGTTCAGAGAAATCGGATGGCCTCAATTTATTCTTTTGTTTCCGGTCAGTAGATGTTCAAACTCAGAAAGTCGGACTTTCCTCACCTTTTCCAAAAGATGGATCCTCATCGCTTTCAAGCGAGAATTCCCCTTCGAAGATGTCCTGCGTCTATGGGAAATACTCTGGACGAATTATTACACAAACAGCTTCGTTCTCTTTGTCGCCTTGGCCGTTCTTGAGTCTCATAGAGATGTCATTTTACGGTATTTGGTCGAGGTGCGTTGTGTTGTCATGCAAGTAGACGTGTTTCTCAACATATCATCATGCTCTCAGTTCGATGAGATCCTGAAGGTGCATATGACATCTTGACCACTTCACCATCTGCATCAACTGACACTTTGTCGTCAGTACTGTAACGAACTCAGTATGACAATTGAGCTGGACTCCACCCTGGCTCAAGCGGAGGTCCTGTTCCTGTCATTCGCACAGTTTGTAGCAGACGTGGATAGACGCGACGCAGAGTCGACAAGTTCTGACTCCGGGCAACTACGGCGTCGTAACCATGCAAATGAGCATGCGGCCCCCCCAGCAGATCGTCAAGCGGCCTCAACACGACGTCTCCTGAGCGATGACCTACGGAATCTCCTTGTCGCCGGACGCTGACGGACGCATCTTGACACCTGCTATATACTACTCTCTATATGCAGGTATTTGTAAGATAGGTAGGCAAACATGTACGATGGCGCACTCTGACAAGTGCCC